GGCGGCGGCAGCCGCGCTGGCCCCCGCGCTGCCCCGCAAGGGGTTATTGGTGCTGAACTCGCGCCACTTCGCCCCCAGGACCATCATCATCTTGGACACGGCAATCTTGGGGTTCTTGGCTGCAATCAGGGGTCTGCGAGTGCGTTTCGGGAGGGGGGATTAGTCCAACACATTCTGAGCGAGCAAAAACTACAGCACATGTTACTAAATCAGAAGAGAGGAGGGACAAAGTCGCTAGGAAATCGTTAAGATGGGTACCTGACAAACTGGCTGAAGGCCTTGTAGTTGGTGAGGGTGCGATAGTCCTCCTGTGTGAAGACGTGGTCAATGTCCTCCATCCCCCACTCTTCTAGCAGCTGTGCAGAGGACTTGGGCTCCTACGAGAAAGAGGGGGATAGAGAAGTTAAAACAGCAGGGACGAAGGACTGGACACGTGAGGACGTTACTTCTGAGACTGGGATCATCCTGATTAATTCAGGTCAAAGGGCCACTACTGGCTTGGAAGATAACTTAAGATCACTTTATTGGCCCTATACAATTTCTTGTATGAGGAATTTGTCTTTTCACAGACCCCAGCTTGCTCTCCAGGAGACACACCGACAGGGAGAGAAGCTGGGGGTCAGAGCGCAGGGTCAGCCATTTATACGGCACCCCTGGAGGAGCTGGGGTTGAGGGCCTTGATCAGGGGGCCCAACAAGATTCCTCTGCCGGCCGCGGGATTCGAACCGGCAACCTTCCAGCCACAGGCGCAGATCCTGAGCCACAGAGCCCCCGCTCCGCCCCATAACAGGGAAGATACGACATAGCTGAAGGGATTATTAGATGAACATAGGGAACTAACAACTGTCCTCTCCTTTATGGCTCTCATTCGGTTCTTCCTACATCCCGACTCCCCCTCCAAAACCTCTCAGGGTCACGACGGGTAGCTACGAACGGGCAGGCAAGTAGAGCTGTAGCCCCGTCCTCCCCCAGCAAGACTGGCGTTTGTCTGGGTGAGGGTATGATGGGAACTCTGGAACGAAATCCTTCCCTCTGTTCCCTCTCACCTGACTGTCTTCCTCCTCCTCCTCTTCCTCCGGCTCGGGCTCCTTCCGTTTGCTCTTGCTGCCCCCCGCGCCCCCCCCGGAGCCGGCCCCGCCGCCGCCGCCGCCGGCCCCCGCTCCCCCTCCGGCCGCTCGCTTCTCCTTCTTGGCGGCGCTCGCCCTCTTCTTCTTCTTGCGCCCGGGGGTGTAGTCGCTGCCCTCGCTGTCGGAGCGGCCCCCGCCCTCCTCGTCGTCGTCGCCCACGCCATCGCCGAGGTCGGCCCCCTCCGGGGAGCTGCTGGCCAGGTCCTGGGACAGAAGCAGGGGACCGTCAGGCCACACAGAGGAAGGAGACGGGGGGGCTTCAGGCTGTACCGCCTCTCTATATCGGTGGATCCCCACCCTGCTCGTGGAGAGACACCCCAGCTGAGCTCTGCCCCCCCAGTGCTAATAGATCTGATCTAGACTTGTATTTAAAATGTCTCTTTGATCAGTTCTACATGTCAAAAACACCCAGCTTCAAGGGTACAGATTGCACCAGTTTTGGCACACAGACCTTCGCACAGTCTCTGTTCACTCTGCTTGCCATCATTTCCAGTTAAACCACTCTTACACCCAACTACAGCGAATAGATAAAACGGAGGTGTTCCTATCAGGCACGGCCTTAGTGTTTTTTTCCCCACCCCTCCTGCAGAGGTCCAATACTCCCGCTCGAAAGAAAGTTCTCAGAAATTGGGCGAGATCGATTAGAAAGCCCATCTGGACCTTTGCCCCAGACACAAAAGTGAAACGCGTTTGACTTGTCATTAAAAACCCTGTCCGAGCAAAACCAGACCAGAACCGACTGGAGGATCTCACGCGGCGATCTTGAAAGAAGCCAGCGTATCAGCGTCACCAGCGTGGCAGCTTGTTCCACATCCTCACCACCCTTTGTGTAAAGCACCTCTTTTATACAGTTATGAGTGGAAATGCACTTGTGTCAGCATTAGCTCTGGAGCAAACTAAGTTGACTGTGTCTTCGAGGATTTTGAATACCTGCGTCATGTCCCCTCGTAATCGATTGCATTAAGCTTAGACGAAAAGGTGTGCTTCTGCGGCCTCTCAGAGGAGAACATTCTTTCACATTCTAGCTTTCAGTCGGTTGATGTAGTATTTGTAGGACCTCCTTTTTAAAAAGGAGGTTTCTCAAAAACTGTGGATCTTCTTCTCAGTATACACTGCAAAATCTGACAGGCACTCTGATCTCTGACCACCACTACATCCAGCACAACAGCAAGTGAGGAAAAGGCCAGTCTGCCAGTGTGTCCAATTGTCAGCATGTAAGCTACCATATCGGGTAAGTTACAGTGTGTAAGGCCCATACCTCTCTCCTCTGTCTCTGTCTCTTGGCCGTCTTGCTTTCTCGGCTCTTCTTGGCTTTCTTCTTCTTCTTCACCTTTGGAGCGTCGCCATCCGATAGCTCCTCCTCCAGATCGTCGTCATTGTCTGGGATCGGACGAGAGAGAGAGAGAAGAGGGGGCAGGGGTCAGAGCCCGCTCACAGATCCCGTCGTGACTGTTCTTCTGCCAAGATCATGGTTTGAAAAAAAAACAACACTCGCTACTGCAGAGAGACAGATCAATCACCCCGGGCGCAGTCTGGTCAGGTGACCAGCTACCGGATCATGACAGACTGCGCAGGCAGTGTAGAAAGACAAAACACGCACACTGGTCAGCTCAAGGGGAAAAACATACTCCTGCACAACTAGAGTTTCAAGCGCCTCAAGCTTCATCAGCTGATGGATCTTATATCCCACATCCGTGAATATCGGATCACAAACGTAGCTCCTTTCAGGCTGGTAAACTTACAGGTTACTTACAGCCCATGTTGACTCCACGAAACATTCAAAAATGCAGGTGACGTGCCACGTTTGCAAGTATTCAAGAATACATTCACTTCAAAAATCTCTGTACAAACATCTCAACTGCTTTTGGGGCCTGTTAGTAGGGGAGGTCCGTCTTTCTTGAGGTCTCCAATCAAGCAATCCCTGCTGACACAAGAGGCCCTCACCGAAAGCACACAGTGCAGAAGCCATGCAACCAATTCGACTGCGGCAACTCAGCCAATCGCTGTCCTTCAGCTGGATGTAAATGCTGCAACGAACAGAACCTTGTGCAAATGGTGCCAGAAATGAACCAGTCCATACGAACTGTGGCGGAAACGTTAATGCTAGAACTTCCTGGCACACTGGCGTGGGATGGGGCATCCACAGTGCCCGACACCTTGCATTAAGTAAACATTAAGCTTTCCAGTGTCATCGAGGTCGTTACTGCGCCTCTGCAGACATCAAAATATTTACAAGTGTCCACGGAAAACGACTAGCTGGATGGTGGGACAACCCCGTAGGCGTTTTAGAACCTTTTTCAGTAGTTTATTCGAATTCTGATAATGACAAAACAAGCCGATAGATGTAAAGGTGTAGCATACTCAATCCTTCAGCCTTAACTCGCCCTAACTGTGGACATGACAGCGCTGCTCCAAGATCAGCGATGTTACAACCCCTCACTGAGGAGGAATGAAACAGGGAGGCAGCTGCAAGGGAGAAGTTGGGGCGGAGGGAGGGGAGCTTGAAAAGAGGTGTGCAGAGCGGTGAGCAACCAGGAGTTAGTCATGTGGGGAAGCAGAAGGGCAACATTAGAATCTGACCTCCAAAGTCTAACAATCTGGGGAGAGAGCCCTGCTTTTCCATTTTCAACTGCGTCCCTTCCGAAACTAAAAATCAGCAACATTATTCAAGCAGGTGAAGGGACCCATCAGGCCCAGTTAATGGAACAGTCCAGCTGGGTGATTTAGAGACCTTCAGGACACATTTACAAATATCGTTAAATGTCACTGCTAGTAATCTTGGTAGACGGTGGATGCTACAGATGAAAATTTGGCGGGGCTCATCTAGCTGAGAGAATGAGGCTGGCCAAACCCCCAACTCATTACTGCAAGGATTGAACTGGGAAGCCGCTGCAAGGGTGTAGATGGGGGGGGGGGGATGTGAGAAATACAAGAAGGGAAGTTCTAGGTACGAGACTTACAAACGTAGGCGAGCGGAGGTGTGCAAGATTAGGATCTAACCTTCCGCCAGAACGTGTGTTCATTTAATTCCATGTAATGTAGAAGACAGACTTTTTTTTTTCATATCCTCACAAAGCCAAACGGTTGTTAATCAAGTCGGAAACCAAGCTGGTTCACCCTGGCAATTCCTGTTACTAGCCCAGGAGAGAGAATCAGAATTATTCCTTGCATCAGTATAACACCATTCACTTCCCAGAGAAATCCTAAACACCCCCGATGTGTGACAGGATTCCAAACACTGCACCTACACAGCAGATTAGGCAGACTAAGAAATTCCTCCACCATCTGAATTGAGGAAGGACCCCAGGGAAGCCAGACTGGACAAATTGGAATTTAAACAGGACGTTCAGAACTAACACCCCTTCTCTTACAAACAGTGTCATGGGATCCTCAACAAGCTAGGAGTCAGAACCTCCAACTATCATCTCATCCAAAGGACGACATCTCCTACAGCACAGTGTCTTGTTTTCATACAGGAGCACTGAGTCGGAAATTCCAAGAGCACCTGCTTGAAAATATAGCAAGAAAGGTGAAAATCATCTCTGTTACATCAAGGTCATCACTGAACTTCTCACTTCATTAAAGCCCCCTAAAACCTCTGCCCAGGACAGGAAATTCCATGTCGATCAGCCCCTCAGAGGCAGCATCCGACACCACTTCCAAGTTCTCCATTGGAGATCTCCCACTGCAGTATTGACGAGGCACAGCCGTGCTTAACTTCCCAGATCTAACAATGCCAGGCTACCAGTCTAGCTGGGTAAGTACAGACCTTCAAGACACATTACCAAAACTACATCTCATTGCTAGTGATCCTGGTAGATTTCAGATGCTCCTTATTTGAAAACATCGCTGCTTTGGAAGACGAAAATTTGGCCTGGCAGAGAGAATGGCAGCTAAGCTGCAAACGTAAGGCTACCCAACTGGCCCACCCCCTTCACAACTGCCAGGATTGAACTAGGAAGCTGCCATACAGGTGCAGACTGAGGTGGGGGGCTTTAATTAGGGGCACCAGTTACCCAAAACGCTCATGATCGTCCCCGCACCGCAAGCCCGACAGTGCCAGCCGGAGGACATCGATCTCCCAGACAGCCCTACTACTTCTGGTAGTGACCCCCAAAACACAGGTGGCAGCAGAGGAAAACCTTGGCCAGCTCTAACCTGGCCAACCCCCAATCTGGGGAAGCCCGTCCGTGCTCAGATATTGGCACTGCCCAGCCTGCGGACCACTGGGTTCAACCAAGCAAGCCGCCCGAGCGCAGATTCCCCGACAGCGCCCCCACAGCCCCTCCGCACGGGCTGCTGCTGCTCCATGTACTGTAAACATGATGGCTGCTGCGGGCTCTTCTGTATACACAGCAGCCCCGCCGCACTGTAAACACCACTTCATTCCTTCATACGCCCTCAGCCCCGTCGCCATGTCTGCTCCAAGACGCTGCGCGGCTCCCCCCTCCCCCACCCAGAGACACCAGAGCCGTGGGCGAGTGCTACCTTCTGACCCACCCTCCCTAATCCCAAACCCGGACACTAGATGGCGGGTTTCAATTAGCCGAGAGGTTCTTGTCTATCCCCCCCGTGAATATCCACAAAGAAGGACGGAATCAGGATTTATCAGCCAGGGTGCGCCCGTCCTCAGATTTAAGTTTCGATTTAATCCGAGATCTAATTATCCAGGATTCCATCAAGCGCATTTAATCTATTGTTAAGAGGAGCATCTCCCACCCCCCACCCCCACACACTCAGTGACGGTGCCCAGCTTTCCTGCAACATTTCTTTACCCTGTGGTATAAGCAGCCATCTGCATTAGCACATCGGGCTTCGAGTGACTCACGCAAGGCCCAGGCTCCCTTAACCCTATGGATGCGTCGCCGGTGGCTCCGAGTTTGGCCCTGTGTCACACTGAATCGCGCAAGGGGAGAAAACGCACACAGCACACGGCGCCTCGCAAGAGGAGACAAGAAGGGGGGGTGCACAGCACAGCACATCAACAAGTGAGGCTGCAGAGTCATGGATATCAAGATCCGCTTTCCACCTCGGCTCAAGGACGGCGCGCAAGGACGCCCCGGAGCCTGCTCGGGGTGACACGACGGGAGAGCCGCCGCCGCCGCCGCCGCGGCCGAGCCAGGGACTTCCTGGTCCCGAGCCCTCCGATCCAGCCACCGGCCGCCCCCACTCCTGCCCTTCACAGCCAAGCAACGCCATTTCGATATCAGGCAACCCGGTGCCCTGTGGACACTCCCCCATCCTTCGCAAGCAGAGGTGCAGTACAGGATTTCAGGGGGGTGACTGGTCACGTCATAATGAGCCTGGGATTCTCACCTCTGTCCCACTCGGTTTAAAGCACAGAAGTGAGGCTATTTTACAACAGGCAGCGGTGGGGAAAGTGGTGCGTAATTGCTCCTGTAATACAAGACTACTGCAGAAGTGAGGGCAAACTACACATTGATTAGAGACCAGCATATGCACAACAGAAGAGGTCACTTATAAGAGGGAATATATTTAAAAGCTCAAGAACTGTCATTAAGAAGCTAGAGCAAAAATACAATAGAACCAGATTATTCAGCTGGGCTGTTACTTTCTTATAGTTCATCATATTACAAAATGAAGGTACAGTACATGTACTGGGGGAGGGGGGGTTGGGGGAGATAACTTCAAGTCAAAGTACATCACAATAGGTGAATTAAGTGTATTGTATATTAAGCAATTTCAAGTGAAAAAAGCCAGAATAAGTGAGCTAGCTTTAGATCAGAAATCAACTCCAAACAGACAAAAGTGGACTTTTATTAAGAGGGGACTACAAGTATCATAGGCATACAAATCCATAGTCAGAATACTAGACTGATTTTAAATGTACTTTTTTAAAGAATGTATCATGAACTGAGCCGACCTCTGTTACAGCTCTACCAATAACTAAACCTGCTACTTTATTTCACGTCTGATAAATCCGATTAGACCTAAATCTAAACCTAAAATAAAAACTAAGTTACCGTGCGAACATATAAAAATAAACTTAATAAAACATGACCTATATTTTCTCTTTCTGTAATGCGTACCCCCAAAACAAGTTAAATTTAAGTTCTCAAGGTACTACCCAGTAAAAAGAAATTTCCCTTTATGATTTTTTTTTTAAAAACAGACTTCCGTAGGAGTCAGGCTTCTGTCGGCGACAGGAAATAAGCAGGCCGCGGTCCCCAGCCTGCTTGCTGGCACACCGGCTTTCACGTAATAAATACGGAGAGAAGACCCAACTGCCCAACTAGTGCTACAAAAACTGTTCGAGTATGTTAGAATAGTTACTCTAAACGTATTTTCTCAATCCTCACACCCTATTCGCTCATGATATGCAAGATTTTGTTCTTAGTTGTTTCACTTTAAGACGAGATCCACAGCGAGCGAAACAGGAACTCTTGACAATTACGTAACGCTTCCCAGATATTAACATTTTATTTCAAAGACTTTTTTTTTTAATCCTTGACTTACGCAGAAAGGATACTTAAAATCCACAAAATCGGATAAGGTGGTTTAAGAGCAAATTTTCCATGTATCCTTCTTCCGGTGTGCTCACACACACTGCTGACTACATAAAGGGGGATTACAAAATAAAACGATAAAGTTCTTACATCAGTTTTGGGCAATTCGGTATTTTCAGGCCGATTACATTTTTGCAAAAATCAGGAAATTCATTAAAAAAAACTCTGTTCCCTGTTAACCGACTCCCACACGTGAAGACACAGTAGGCCCCTAGTCTAAAAAATGCCGGTTCAATTGCAAACCGGCATTTCCTATTTACAGTGCAATTCTTCAGCCGTAACAACAAACAAGTACAAATTATCACTGCAAACACACGCACACATATATAAACACACAAACACGAGCGAGACTATAAAATAACTAGCCCAGGAAAATCTGAACGAGATGTTTTAATGCATCCGGGTGGCATTTTGTTCCATCACTCAATGTACAAACTTTTGCGATCCAGTTTTCTCTCTTTTTTTTAAAAAAAAAGACAGTAAAACGCACATCCCACGATAAAAGAACGTATTAAAACGCAGACCTAAAAAAACAAATACCGATGACAAACGCAGACACGCAGGCCCCCGTCACCCACTCACCAACCCCCCCCAAAAAGGAAATTAAAGAACGAGACGCTCCTGTCCTCGGTTAAAATGTTTGAAGCGGTAACATAACTCCCAAAATAGACGATCGAGTCTAAAAAAGACTAGTCTAGTGCACTATCTTTAAATACTCTGTAAAGACAGCTCCATTTCACGTGTGCTGCGTTAGGTTAGACATGCGAGTACAGCCAAAATATTTCAGTTACCTTGCAAAAGCGAGCGGTCGTCCAAGCTTCCGAAATCCTGTCCCTCGTCTTCACTCCCGGACATTTTGTGCTAAATGGTTTTCCTATAAATATATCTGAAAGTGAGTTTGTGTGTGTGTGTGTATGTGTGTGTGTGTGTCGGTACCGGGGAGGGAATTATCGAGGGAGGGGGTGGTAATGGTTGGAGGGGGTTGGAGGGAGCCGACGAGCCGATGATGAAAAAGCCCTTCTTTGTTATTTTACGAGAAAAAGAGTCACACAGTGCATAAACCCGGTCTTCGTAGAAATTTCTCCGCTACCGGCAATACCAGCGAGAAGGACCGAGTTTGTATCCCAAACTAGAATCGATGCTCCTCACACACACACTACTGAAACCAGGGGGGGGGGCGCCGCCAAACTCAACGTTAAAAGGATATAAACTCTCCGGAAAAGAAAAACTGTCGATGTTTTCAGTTAGATGTCTAAACTGCAATACTAGTACTATACCGGCTTCTGGAAAGTGGCCGGCAGCGAAGTAAAGTGAGCTGGGAGTTGCATACAAAATAATAAGTATTCCGGATAAAAGGGTCAAAGTTGGCGTTCAGCGGTCTCCTCTTGAATGTCCCCCCCTTTATACAAAGAAGACAACCGACGTGTCGGAGTAGAAATGTCCGACTCAGGAGGGTTGTATAATCCCGAGTTGTGCCAGGTTACGAGTAACCCCAAACAAAAAGAGCGATTACACGAGGGGAGTTCAACAACGATTTCCTTGCCGGCTCAGGAGCGAAGACAGCTTCTTCGAAGAGGCGACTGATTTCCGTGGGTATTTCGGGCACGACAAAATGTCTGGTCCAGTCCGGCCGCACAGTCATCCGCACACACTCGCCCTCTCCCTCTCACACACACAAAGAGACCGGGGCAAACCGAAAAGCGAGAGAGAGGCAGGCATCCCATAATAATAATCCTGTACACCCCCCCCCCCCCCCCACTCTATAATACACACTAACACTCCACACGCAGTTACCCCAGCAACGGACAGACCATAATACTCCATCCCATGTATATACACACGCACGCAAGACACCCCCTGGGCTCTTCCGGCCCCTAGCAACCGCCGTTGCCGTGGAGACGGTCGCGCCCCCCCCCCTTCCGTGCCGACGGCCATCCCATAATACCCGGGCTCCACTTCGCGGATCACCCATCCCATAATATGCATATCTCCAAAAAATTATCAGTCGCCTGGTCGCCCAGGCAACCCAGGCCACAAATGACAGGCCATAATACTCTCCTACTGTACAATGTGTGCACACGCACTGTACATGCTCGGCACACACCAGCTACACAGGCCGATTCAGACGGCACACACGTGTGCACGCTGCTCTCATGCAGACTGTGCACACACACACGGAGTTTGCACAGCCTTACAGTCTGCTGGTTTCCATAGAGACCCCTGACATTGTGAGGTCCCAGCAACAGCCTGACAGGGTGTCAGTCGGTGTGTACAGAGCACTGTCAGTGTGCTGTAGAGCTGTGCTCATGTCCCCATACCTACTCATCGCAAAACAGAGGTCTCACATGTTCAGATAATCTCCACCTCCAAACACAGGCACAGTCAAAACATCCAGTGTCCCCATGACATAAACAGTACAAGCCTGAGTTAGGCCTCACAAGAGACACAAGGCCTAAAATCTACCACTCTGCAGTGCTGCTGTGTTTGAGTCTGCTCCCTTTCTGTGCTTGTGGGCATGTGGCATTACCTACTCTTTGTGCCCGGGCTGCTTAATTTCATATGGCAGTACTGTGTAATAATAACAACAACACAGACTAGACTCCATTCCTCTCTCTCTTTGTTGCTATAGAGATTTTTTTACAGGGGGGGTGTCATCCCATAATGACCAATCAGGAGAGAGAAAAGTGAGGGGGAGGGTTGGTTGTCATGGAAGCAACCCCCCCCCCTCATTACCTTCCCCCCTTTAGATATCCCATAATACTAATAGTAACATCCAGACCCAACTACACCCCATAATAATAAACCATAGGCATGGGTGCTAAAGTGTGTGTGTACTTGAGGGGGACATGTTAGGATGACTGATGTGCTACCCGGTTGCCATGGAAGCTGACTGACAGACCATAATTAGCACCTGACAACCTCCCACCTCACTGGACAGCCCATAATATTCACCCTGACAGCTGAAAATCCTGAGAGAGCATCGCCAGGGGATACAGGGAGGATAGTGGCTAAGGAGACTACAGCAGACAGATGGACCAACAGATGCAAAGCCACAGACTGACATCAAGAAACACAGACAGGCAGACAGAGAGACAGGCACAAGAAGAGGTTAATTCCACCTTCCCTGCTCTAACCTTCACAGAGGGGCTTATACGCACCTGGTGTACTGATATAAACAGGCCGAGTGAAACACCCACAGGACATGCATGAACACATAGAAACAGAGGCGGACAGGCTGAGGAACACACAGGCAGAAAACCAGAAACAGACAGTCGCACGCAGACATTGTTTCAGACAATTACATGCAAATTCTCTGCCAAAAATAGCTCAAAACACAAATTAAATTCAGGCACAGCATTAGGCAAAGCTATTATTGTTTGATACTGTACACTCTGCATACTGTAACAGAGCAGAACAGTACTGTTACGCAGTAAGTACAGTACAGCACAGCACTGGGAATGCATAATGTAGCAATAAAGTTATTTCACAATCGCCTTTGCTTACAGCTCGAAAAAGTGTGATAGACAGTGGTGGAATACAGCATTTTCAGCAATGCGAAACCCGTAAGATCACATTAGACCACGGTTGGCCAGTGGGTAAACCTGCCATCCCGGGACCCGAGACCTGTGCAGGAGAAGATACTTTATTGTCCACTACGGTGGTGGTGTCTCGCAGAGCCGTGGGATGTGGAAGCTGGCCTGCAGTGGGCCAACGCACTGACACGCTCCCAGAATGGGCGATGCCCTGACCGTCGCTCACTCCTTCCCCAGCCGAGTGACACTCCCGACTGCGGAGTGGTTTTTTTTGTGCTGTACAATACTTTCTTTTTATTTCTTTCAATCCCCGGCCCCATTCGACCCGGCGTGCACGTGCCTCGTCCAGGAATGTCCCAGGAATGTTCTGTGAGTCTAGGTGCTCCGTGAACACGTGTGCTACGCCCGATCCCCCATCACCAGGATCGACGGGGTTCTGGGGTGCCTTCCGTGAAACCTGCAATCAGAATGTTCTGGATTCGGGGGAGGTGCTGCACCTGACAACAGCGAGCAGCTGGAGCGGCGCTCGCACTGCGCGCGGCCGCAGACGAGCAGAGAGAGGCCCGAAGCAGTGCGAAC